TCCAAAATCCCAGTACGGTTTATGTATTTTGAGAGCAGCTGTGTTACCATTGCTGGCGGATGGGCCACTTTACTCAGCAAATGAACCAGTTCATTTTGATACCCATCTCTTACCCAGCCTGCATAGAACGGGAAAAAACAGTGAAATCAGTGCAAGCTACTCATGTAAGGAACCGCACCAAGTTTACTGGCAGGATCTAGGATCCTGCCTGGCATCTACTTAGGGACTGGTTCCTTTAAGCGTGTGATAAATGCCCCTGGCAGGTTTTATGATTGCAACCTAGAAGTCTAGAAACTGAGGGAGGAAAGGGGTTGCTTTATTTGACTGGTTTTATAGCTTTTGTTCTAAGAAAAACCCAACCCCACACGTTCTCTGCCTGCTTTGCCCAGTTCCCAGCCCTCCATGGCCATGGGGTGGAATGCAAATGGGACTTGCTACAGTGCGAGCAGAGGAACTTGCTGTTCTTTCTTTGCCTTGTTTCAGACCAAGGTTGGTGGGACAAGCCACACAGGGGGCAGTTTTGAAGAAGTTCTCAGCTCTACAGCCCACGCCAGCGCTCAGAGCTCCCTCGCTGGCACTCGACTCCCGGAGAGCGAAGAAGAGCTTCAGTGTTAGACCACAGGCCCTCCGGAGCCTCACATGCCTCTCTTCAGAGACTTGCCCAGCCGGTGATTTTTAGACCTCCCTCGCCACCCAGCTCGTGCAACAAGGTTTCGTCAGCTTTGGAAAATTGCCTCCCTGGCCTTGTGCTGGAGAAACGTTTCCTCTCTCTATTTGTATTTTGGGTGGGCCATTTTATCATCAGGTACTTCATACACCATAGAAACCACATGCAAGTCATTGACTTACAATGCTTTAAATTTTATGTTAAGTGACCAAAATAGTTTTCATTTTCACGTAACTTCCCTCCAACAATCTCCCAGTCTCTGTTTCTTATTTCTTTTAGTTTACTGTTTTCTATCCGTGGGTTTCCAACTCCCCTCTCAGTGCCACATCAGACAGATGGACTTAGAGCTGTGCAAAGATTTCTACTGCCAGCAACAGTCCATATACCAGCTGTCTACCAGCCATACCAGGTGCCCTTTGCTCAGGAGCGTCTGTACACGATATATTTCCTAACGAACGGAATTAAATCACTTATTGTCACAAAAAGTTTTTTCTCCTTCACTGGTACAGTCTGGCGTTGCCCTCCACCCATTAGTCAGCAGAGTTAAGGGGGACAGGAAGAGACACCCAGCTGCTCATATAGAAACAACTGATCACAGCTGCTGATTTAAGATGATCACTGTAGCTGGAAAAGCTTCAGTTTAAAAATACGTTCCATTGCTTGCTCTGTGGTTTGATAAGACTTGACAGTGTAAGTCGATTACAAAGGGAAGCGGAGCAGAGGGAACTTCTAATAATTTTGCTTCCATATCTTCCCCTCAAAAATAAGGGAAGGTAAATTTATGAGCCTCGGTCACGATACAGCCTTAAGTGAAAGAGTACAAACCCAACAACTGGCTTAAGCTGTGCCATAGGTTAGAGAGCCCATGCCTTCAGTCCGCCTTTCAGAGCTGCTAGCATAAGCCCCCGTATCTTAGAACACACAGGATGAAGTAGGTGCTTCACTTTTGGTGTCAAATTTTGTCGTGCTTCACTCCAGGACGTAATTCCACCAACCGCATTATATCTGCTTAATCACCAAGAGCCAGTCGTCTCTCAGCTTTGCTTCAGCATGCCTTCTTGCATCCTTTTCACATTTTTTCTAAGAAAAGAGCAGCACGCTTGTGACACTATCTTGCTGTCTAGTGAGCACGTGTCAGTCTGCATGTTGCATTACTCAGTTCGCCAGGCTGAGATGAGCACAACTTTATCGATGAAGTGTAGAAAACAGTCTGGCTACGTTCAGGATGGATGCATTTTTTGAGCGTAAGCCAAAGCTTCAAATCAGCGTTAGTGAGTTTGACATTGCAGACTGCTTAAAAGCTTGTGAGGAAACTTGGCTGTAAGTGATTTTTTTCTATGTGGCTTTTGTTACAGTTTTTACAAAGTTGGAAGTCCTTTCATAATGTTCTACTGGACATAAGTTAACTTTGGACATTTATATCAAATGCCTCTTTATTGTGATTTTGGCATGGAAGCAAATTTCATTAGGTTGTTTTAGTACAGTTTTCTTGTGACTGTTTGCTAGCTTATTTTGTGGTTTTGTGCATAAACTTGTATTTATTTAAATAAAGAAGATATTAATGGTCACCTTAGGTTGTGTAAATGAAGTTATTGATATTCTTAAAAATAAATTTCTCTCTTACTCTTTTACACTTTGTGATGTTTTCTTTTTAATTCTGTGTATTTACCGGTATTACTGTGCATCCCTAAGCCTTGCTGTGTCACAGCAGAGTATCAAGGTAAGTTGCAAGAACATAACCTGCCCTTCCTACAGTTTTTAAAATCTGTTCAGTCCCTTCTGGACCTGAAATTCCCCATGGAAATCTGCCGCCAAAGTTTCAAAAGTTTTGAGGTTCAAAGGAGAAAAATAATTGAACCAAGTTCAGTAAAAGTGAAATGCGTGGCAGAAAACACCTTCTAGGTCTAAAACCGTTGACCTTCTTTTGAGCAGGGCCAGCAGCCAAACCGAGGTTAAAACATGGAGTCCCAGCACTGCCACCTTCTACGAGACGCTGATTTAGACCTCCTTTTATTTCTATGTTTATGTATGTATATACACGCACACATAGAAAAACGCTTCAGGGAAAGCAGTAAATTGCTTTTAACTACATTTGTTAAGAGCATAATTTAAAGAGCTTGTGTGAGTATGACTTAGTGGAGGTAGGTTGGCCAGACAAGCTTCTCTTCCATATAAATCCTTACACGTTATTGTCATTACAGCAGCTGCCGCTATGTGTAGGCTCAATGCTGGTATGAATAGATCAGGAGAAAGACATGGGAGGAGGAGATTTCCTCTCGTGGGTGGCATGTCCGGGGCCTAGGACACTTTTCCGACACTTGGACAGTGCACTTCAGTACTGCATTAGGAAGCCTGAAGCCCCACAGGCTGTTTGCTAACCTGTCATCGCGGCTCATGCCTTCCGATCGCGCTTTCTCCTCCTGTCTCTTTCCAGCCCACTCCTATTTCTGTGAAAATGCAGTGCCCAAAACTGACACACAATTGCACCCGCAGCGAGTAGAAGGGAATGTAATTCTACACGAAGTACCTGCTGGATTTCCTTAGCCAAAACCAAACCCCACACCACGCACACTCAAACCATGTGTTTCCCAGGATATTTACCTTTCTTGCACCATTGCACTGACGACTGGGGTTCAGCGCTCCGCCCCTGGACCCCCTGCAGAAACGCGCACTGCCAGCCAGTAAAGCTTCCTGCTGCGTTGGAGGAACCCACTGTTCCTGCTGGGGTGGCACTTGCGCTGCGTTTCTATCAAACATCTTAAGGCTGCTTTTCTGCATCTGCACCTCTCTCATGCTTGGCATTCGATACAAACTAATAGAGACTCTGGTTTGAACACATCTTGGTAGATAAAAATGCTGAAGAACGATGGGCCCTGGACAAAGCTCAGCGGGCCCCACTCCATCACCCTTGCAGCATGACAGTCGGCCACCAGTAAGCACTGATCAGTTTCCTATCGCTCAGTAAAGCGCAGCTCGTTTTTCCAGGGTCTCCACAGGGCACAGCTGCTGCCTTGTGGGGTTCCCCGAGCAGAGCAGGCGTCCCACGTCTCACCCGGACCAATACGCTCTGCAGATATTGTGCGCTGTGCCGGCCGCTAAGGCAAGAGCTCCCAGCGGCTCTGCACAGCGCTCTCTGCCTCTGCCAAAGGCACCAGCCGCAGAACGCAGCACGAGCTTGTCAGGCCCCCGAGGTTTGCGTGAGGGAGACACTTCCTGGAGTCACGGTGCCCGAAGATGTGTGCTCAGCTAGATTACCTACCTTTAAAGGGGATGACAATTGAATTTACTTTTATGCTGCCTCATTTGACATGAGGCTGAAGACAGAGAAGCTAGCTCCAGGTCTCTACCATGTCGTTTTTCCATGTGCAAACTTTCATTATGTGGCAATTGTGACATCGCCCTAATCTCCAGCTGCACACATGACGCAACAGTTAGTAGCGCAGACTGGCCTCATTAAGGCATTTACCACCACTTAAAGTACAGCTTTACTTGACAACCATACTGTACTTTTACATCGGTATTATTACTTCCGCTAAAAACTGTCATTTAGAGCAGAATCAGTACCAGCACGTAACAGCGTTAGCACGGGACGGCCAGCTCTACATGGGCGTGCAGGCTTTTGCGTTAGACTGCGCAAGCTCCAAAGGTCCCTCCCAACCTCGGCTATTCTGGGATTACCAATTACCTGTGCAAGAGTCTGTAAAATTGCCAGTCTGGGATGAGGGGGAGTCAGGAATACTGGCCTTACGGAAATCTCAGCACCATTCCCTGATACAACACACGAGCAGTGGAGAAACTGTGTGAAACAATAAACTTATTGAGAAAATGTAATTCATGAGATTACCAGTTTTATCCACCATCGCTTCTTGAGGCTTACGCACTCCAAAGAAATCTCATCTCTAAGTCTGGCTCTGTCAAGAGCTTCTAGAGAAATGCACTGATTGGTCTCTCTTCTGTGTAGCACAGTGAAGAGATATTAACCCATTTGATATAGAAGGTACTTAAATCCATACATACTTAGAAGTCACAGAACAAGACCACTTGTCCCAGCCAGTGCACTACCTGAACAGATTGCAATCAGCTAATTTTTAAACCTACCTGAATTTCCCCAGTGAAGAATCTATTTGTAACTGAGACTGCATCAATCAGAGGCTGATTGAAAAAAAAGAAAAAACCCAAACAAACTCATTCTAAATATTTGGTCCTTGACACAACCTCTAATCTGGGAGGTAACTATCCTACCTGCTCCTATCTGAGTGGTCCTGGGATTCTCAGCAATGAACGCACAGGAAAAAATCTGCTGGCAGAATTAGTGATGTTATGGAAGGAAAAATAATGCACAGAATATAAAACAAAGTATTTATTACAGCTACAGCATTTAGGAACATTTCAGGAATGCGGATGAGATGTAGCAGCTATTTTTTTATTCCTTTCTGTGTTAATCAGAGATACAAGCTGGAGTAACTCTGTGTGAACAAACTTTCCTGCAAAACAAAAGAAAGGGAAAGTTAATTAAAAATGCTCTCATCTTCCTATGTGTGAAAGGTTGCAGTGAAAGGTTGGCAGTGAAAGGTTAGCAGTGACGTTGCTTTAGGCTCAAAATAAACACCAAGTTATTCTTTTAAGAAAGAGAGCACTCCCATCTTACTTGAACTATGGAGTAACTGTAAGAGTAATTACAGCTAGTTTTCCCCAAAAACTTATAGAAATATTTCATGCTCTACTAAGACACTTAAGAGCTGAAAAAAAGACGCACCCTGACCAGGACAATCCCGTGCTACGCATCCAGCTACAGGAAACCACCCCTATTATAGCTGCATGTAGGGTGTACGCTCTAGGCTCTACTGAGACGCTAGCTTAGTTTACGTTACTGAGTTCTAGTAGGAGGGCAAAGATGTCAATTAGAAAACGAGGTATTCCAGCTATGCTGATGATGTCCTTCTTTTCCTTCTTCCCTAATCAAATTATTGCATTTTTCAGAGAGCTGCTTATTTCCCTGAGGAGTCACCAAAGTATAAGTGGGACTTGTCAGGGACTGTGTCTGGTGATCTCTGGTCCTCTCCCCGAGTTTGTCTGTCCCTAGCTTTTTCCCAGGATAGGATGACTTGGAGTCACAGTTCCTCTTCTGGTGTTCAACTCCCTTGCTAAAATAATAAAGACTATTATTTTACCTGTTTTTCCTTTCCACTATCAGTTTATTTTGGAAAGGTTGAAGAGCTGTGGATAGAATAAAAAGTAATACAATTGCACCTAAAACATTTCCCTGAGCTGGTTCTCACGTGCACCTTGGGCAGGTCACACAAAACCGCAGCTCATGTAGGGATAACAAATTCCACTTCACTGGTTCATGAAACACTAACAAAGTAGAAACAAGCTGCTGTCAGAGCATCAGTGAAGAATGAAGCCTCCTCTATACCCCCTCTGACGGTAGAGGGAGATCCTTAAACACATGCAAGTGTAACGAAAGCTGGGCCTCTCTCTAAGTGTCCAAAGTGACGTAAAAGGAACTTGGCGTAAATGAGATTCAGGTTCAATACATACAAATAAAATAATGTATGTTCACACTGCAGTAAGTTTCCCCCAAAATATTTAGGGTACTCAAGTGATGAGTAAAACAATTAGTTCTCACTTGGTCTGAACGCCCATCAGAAAAAAAGGCAATTTATATATTTCATTTCATTTGTGAAAGAAAAAAAAAAAGCCCAAATGTCATACCAGCAGTTGAATCGTAAAAATCCTGCAGTCTGCCAGGTGTGTTTTCCAACTCTTCATACTCAAATGCTTGCAGTATCATCTCACACTGATCCAACTGTTTTACAAACTTGGCTTCTGCAGTACTCTGGTTTTCATATTCCTGAACAGATTTTTAGTTATAAGAAAAAAATTGTGTTGTTCTGAAACAATAAGAGTATTAGAAGCTCTTTATATATGTCTAGAATTTTCTTCATTAGTACAAGCCATTCCATAAATATTCACGACAGTTACGTCTTTCACTCTCTTTTTAAGACTGCTATTCAGCAAAACACTTGAAATAAGTATGTGCTAAATCTCTATTAAATGTAATAGGACTTAAGAACACAATTCTTTTGCATAGTCTACCTTAAAAACATACCAAGTGTTTTGGCTGAATCAGGGATGATATGGAGACAACCCTACACAATATACAGGTTAAATAATAGGTTCCATTTAACAACATTTTAATATATAAATATCTTTTCAGGCCTGGCTAAGGCTGTGAATTACCACAGTGTGTGCCTATGCACTACCATTACCTATTTTTAAGACCTATTTTGCACTTTTCTCCACCACTTGCTGTTTTTATAAGGAGTTGTTCTTTACATTTCTCCTGTCACTCCTTCTTAATCTCTTTGGCCTAATCTGTCTGAGCTGCTTACGTCTTTATGTCTCCCCTAGGAGATAGGGAGGGGAGTCATTAAGGGGTTTCCTCCCCTTCAAACTTTAAGTCCTTTAATCTCTCTGCTATCTTTTCCCTCTCTCCAGTCATCGTCAGTATATATTTGTGAGTCATTCACATTTCTAGCCAACTTGAACAATTTTGCCGTCATTCACTTCCAGTGATGGCTGCAGAAGGGTTTGCCATTTCCTTTTCTCTTTCCTAGATCTACTGCATTGTATTTGATGTCTCATCAGCTGGTCTTCTCCTGACTTCCAAAACCAACCGCAGAAAAAGGCTTCTTTCTGTGCAGGTAACCATCACCTTGATACCCTCGGCAGGTCTGACCCCATTCATCATCAACACCACCAATAATCAGACCAGAGGCTTAAGTACACGCCGGGCCCATCTGTGTTTTCAGATCCACACAACCCACGATGCACAGCAGTTCTGCAGATGAGAGCAGCCCAAGTGCAGGAAGAGTTTTTCCTACTGACCAAAGAACGTGGCATCTCTTTCTGCACCTTAAGATGACAACTGTGGGTGTGGGTGTCATTCACAGTGGCAAGATCCCGGGTTGTAATTCCAGCACAGTGATGCTCAGATAAGCGTCATGGCCATTCCCTTGTCTGACACACTATTAGGAACCTGTTTGTTCTTATGCTTATTGCTTTACCCTTGAAAGTCAGAAATCCAGATTTTGATAGCCATGATTGATTCATACACTACTCTATTTGGATTTGAACAATGCTTTGAATTTTCAATTACATTTTGATCATTATTTTAGTCATCAATTTCATTTCAACATTTTTACCTTCCTTTCAATCTGAGCTTTGCCTCATCTTTAAATTGTTTAAATAATACTTCTTATTTTCTTAAATCTACTTATTTCTACTCTTTTTTTTTTTTGGCCACCAAAGAGAACAAACTCTTGGCAGCATTACAAAGGAGAACTTCGGGAGAAGGAGAACTATGGCTGTTTGCTTGTAAAGCTCTGTCCCACCTCCAGCAATTAATTGGGAGTATCAATCTGTTACCAACCTCTTTGTGCCATACAACCCACCAGATCTTATTCATACCTCAGCTCACGTTAACCTCAAGAAACATCAGCTATTATATGTGCAACTGTGCACCGTGCTGAAATAAACGCTTACTGTTTCCTCTCCACAGGTGTTTAAGAGCACGAAATAACAGCACACTTTGGAAAAACAGTAACTGGTCTCTCAAACACCCCAGTCTGTCTTTTAAAAATTACTCCCATGCTTTTGCTCTTGAAAATAAAAAAGCAGGACAGAGCTGAAGTGTGCTGACTCATTTACGTCAATGTTTTTTCAAACGTATTCTGGATTAAGTTATAAAGGGAAAATACATCGGGGGCATCTTTCTGCTACCTTTCTCCCCTACACTACACTTGCAGAGTACCAATACAGTC